GTCCTAGCCGGCAGGGGCTTTATGGAGCCAGGCCAGCTCCCCCCTCTTCCTGCTGGTGCAGCCCAGCCTGGCTCCACAGATCCCTGCCAGCCTGCACCCCACTTTGGGCCCCACCGGTGCTGGTCCTGGGACATTGGTCCTGAGATGGTGACTAGGGGGCGGGGCACCTGTCAAGGGGCAGGGCTACCCATGCAGCCCTCGACCGCCTGCCAAAACTGGGTAAGTGGCCCTCCGCCCAAAATAATTGCCAAAATAATTGCTGTACTAGGCACACACAGACATCATCTACAGTCAAGCTCTATGTTCCAACTGTATCACTCCAATCCCATCAACTAGAATACACACCTTGAGAATCTACAACAGGGTTTCCTACACATATAATACAATCCCAAAACTGGAGCTACCAAATCAACAGAGTCACGGTCAAACCCCTCTGCAACCTGCAACAATACCAACTCTATGTCAAAGACAACAGATCCCTCTGCTCATCATTTTCATCCCCCAACTCAAACACCTTAGACCAGTGTGGTCAAACCCATCCAGCCCTGCAGGCCAGATGAGAAGTGTAGGGCCAGTCTACAGGCCAGATAGAAATTACAGAGCAAACCTGTACCGCAGCTCTAGCCCACAAGGCCAGTTTGACATGGATGCCACATCCAGCATGCATCCTTGACCAATCCTTCACTCTACAAACAGTGGGCATGCTGGCTGCAGTCCCACACATCAGCTCCAACTCTGTATGCTGCATGTAATGCATGCCAGCCCCAGCCAGGTACCTGCAGGCCATATCTTTGATACTCCTTCCATAGCCCAGTGCTTCTCAACCAGGGTGTCATGGTACCAGTGCGCTTCAAGATCCTTTCAAGGGTGCTGCAAGGTACCACACAACGTTAGCACTATTGAGGGTGCAAACATGATTCGCAAGACAACCAGGTTTTCAAATAGGAATCCATATGTTAAAAACATTCCGAAATCCATAGCTATAGTCTGAGTTCTTAGCAACAGAGCTTTATTATTTTTTCTATAACGATAAAAAAAAAATGAAAACTTTCTAAGGGGTACCTGTAGATTAAAACAGTTGAAAACTACTGCCTTACACACATCATTAATGATCTTTAACCCCTCCTGGATAATAACTGT